GGCTCTTACCGTTCAGATTTGTCGGTTGAATTTACAGTTTAAATTTATCGATTAAATTAAACGTTTCAATCTTGAACATACCGCCCGCCTTGGAACGATAGTTCCGAAATAATTGATACGACTGTAGCGTCTACGCTTATTTATATTAATGTGATCGCTTGGGAGGTAGGAATCGCTTAGGTTCGGGTCGTAAATGATTAAGGCTTAATAGTAGTAACTCATTATATTTCCTTTGAAGATGCGCTAATTGCTGAGTGTCTCGACTCCACGGGGAGCCTGCTTATCTTCCCTGTGGATTGACTTTTGCCCACGGAAAAGCATACCCGGCGTATGACGCCTAGCGGAGGTGCTCGGTACTAGCTGTACGCGACGTATATGTAGCCGCCTGAGCGTCTTTCGGCTCACGGGTAAGCTAGCCCGGCGCGCGCCGCGCAGCGGCGGCGCCCGTACTATCGGCGCGGCCGCTTTCTCGCATGTGCAGTTGTGCGAATAAATTTTTATCGCCACAGGACCCCCTTCGCTGTATTATTGTCACGGTAATTGAAAACGAACTGGCGGGCGTGAGGTTCGTCTGCTCCGTGTCTTCTGTTCTTTTTCAGGCGGTTCCTGCAGTACTGTTTCTTGTCTATCATCTTCCCTGTCGCTTTCTTGTAGAGTATATACCGGTTTTATTCTGTCTATTGAGACGTTGATGTCCTTCCCATTTTTGCGTAAGGTGATTACCTTTTCTCCTCTCTTTATTATTTGGAAGGGTCCTTCGTATGGCGGCTGCAGGGTTCCTCTCAGTAGTTCTCTACGTAGGAAGGCGTGGGTTGCTGTTTCCATATTCTGGAATACAAATGGTGTTGCTTGCCCGTGTCTTTTTACTTCTCGTGGTCTTACGTCTCGTAGATTTTTTTTAAGCTGCTTTAGCATGTCTTCGGGTTCCTCTACTATGTCCTGCTTATTGCTTTGTTGCAGGAATTGCCCGGGTAGTCTAATTGGCTCTCCGTACACTATCTCGGCTGCTGTTGCTTGTAAGTCTTCTTTCCAAGCAGCTCGAATGCCCATTAGCACTACGGGAAGAATCTCGACCCATTTCTCAGTTTGGTGACATTTAATGGCAGTTTTTAATTGACGGTGGAATCGCTCGACCATGCCGTTGGCTGCTGGATTGTACGCTGTTGTTCTATAATGCGTTGTCCCTGTTAGTTGTGTTAGCCGTTTGAACAGGTCTGCTTCGAACTGCCGCCCCTGGTCCGTGGTTATGTACTTTGGGACGCCGAACCTTGCCATCTAATTGGCGAAGATGCTGCTTGCTATGGTGTCTGCCGCTATGTCCGGGACTGGTATCGCTTCCGGTCATCTAGAGAATCGATCTATTAACGTCAAGCAGTATCTGTATCTTTTTGACACTGGCATCGGCCCTACGATGTCGATGTGGATATGCTCGAACCTGTGTGTCGGCGTTCGGAAAGTTCCTATTTGTGCCTTGTTATGCCTTGTTGTTTTTGCTTGTTGGCATTGCAAGCACGCTTGTGCCCACTTCCGGCAATCTTTTTGTACCCCGGGCCATACGTAACGTTGCGTGATTAGCTTCACTGTAGCTTTTACTCCTGGGTGTGATAAACCATGCAACGACTGAAACACTTGCCTGCGATATGGTTGAATCACGAAGGGTCGTGGAGTCTGTGGGTCTATGTCGCAATAGAGAGCAACCTTAGTCCCGGGGATCGGTATTTTTTTTAATTTTAACGCTGTCCCCGACTGTAGGACTCGCTGCAATTCCTCGTCGTTTCTCTGTGATTCCGCTAACTTTTCGAAGTTAATTGCTTCTTGTATGCCTTCTACCCTTGATAGAGCGTCTGCCACTACATTATCTTTCCCCGAAATATGTTGGATGTCCGTTGTGAATTGTGCTATGAATTCTAGATGCCGTGCCTGCTGTGGAGAGCTTCGTAGCGGGTCTTGTTTAAAGGCGTATGTTATCGGTTTGTGGTCGGTATAGATGGTAAATTCTCGCCCTTCCAATAAATGTCTGTAGTATTTTACCGCTAGGTAGACGGCTAACAGCTCCCTGTCGTAGGGGCTGTATTTTCTTTGTGCGGGGCTCAACTTCTTACTCATAAATGCCAGCGGTTGCCAGATTTGCCCGCTTTGTTGCTGAACTACTGCCCCTATTGCATTATCGGAGGCATCCGTGGTCACGGCTAGCTTGCTCCGTGGGTCGGGATGCGCTAATAAGGTGGCCCGTGAGAGGCTATCTTTGGTTCTCTCGAAGGCTTCCTCCAACTCCATTGTCCACTGGATCGGCGCCTTACCTTTCTTCTTTGGGCCCGCCAGTGTGTCGTTTAACTTGGCTTGGTCCACGGCTGCTCCGGGGTTGAACCTTCTGTAAAAATTTAACATCCCCAGGAACTGGCGCATCTGCCTTACCGTTGCAGGTTTCGGGAATTCCTGTATTGCCTGGACTCTCTTTGGTAAGGGCTTCGTTCCCTCTTTCGTTACCACATATCCCAGGAACTTGACGTGTTCTTCACCGTTTATTCTTAACCCCTAGTTGTTTAGTCGTTGGAACAGCTTTCGCAGGTGTTTCTCGTGCTCTTCTCTCGACTTGGAGGCCACCAGGATATCGTCAATGTAGGCGTAGCAAAAATCCAGGCCATGCAACACCTTGTTGATAAAACGCTGGAAAGTCTGTGCTGCGTTTCGTAGCCCAAATGGCATATACTTGTACTCAAATAATCCGAACGGCATTGTAATCGCCGTCTTTGGAATGTCTTCTGGGTGAATCGGGATTTGGTTATACGCTCTCACCAAATCTATCGTCAAGAAGATTTTCCTCCCTTCCAGATTTTGCGTGAAATCCTCTATATGCGGGATCGGATATCGGTCCGGTATGGTTCGTGCGTTTAGTTTGCGGTAATCCCCGCATGGGCGCCAAGAATTCTCCTTCTTGGGTGCCATGTGTAGGGGCGCGGCCCATGGACTTTTTGACGGCTGGGTCACTCCTTCCTGTTGCAACAGTTCGAACTCGGCTTTTGCTGCCTTTAGTTTGTGAGGAGCGAGTCGGCGGGGGCGACACCCTTCAGGTGGCCCCGGTATTGTCTGGATATGATGCCTCGTCGCATGAGATATCTCTTTCATAACCCCTAAGGGTTTTAATATTTCTGGGAATTCGGCAAAAAGCTCATGATAGTTCGTCCGGCTCGCGACTGCCTTGATGCTTTCCCCTATCGCAGTACTCCGAGATTTTCTCGACGATAACCCGGTTTTTCCGTCGATCAAACGTCCCTCCCGTAGGTCTGGGATCAAGTGAAAATATGACAGGAAGTCGGCGCCTATTATTGGTTGGGTTACTTCGGCTATCGTGAACCTCCACAAGAACTTTCTTCTTAATTCGAAGTCGGGTTCTAGGGTTATTTGTCCGTACGTGCGAATTACGGATCTGTTTGCCGCATATAGTTGGTAAGTATCTGTTCGCCACGTGTTTTTGACCATGCTTCGAGGATACACACAGACGTCGGATCCGGTGTCTATCAAATACGGGGTTTTTGTTTTACTGTCGGTCATTATGAGGCGGCGAGGACTTGGGTCAATGTCGTTGGCCGCCATCAACGACTGCCCTCCGTGTTTTCCTTCTTGAAGGTGCATGGTTGACGGCATTTCTTTGCTTCCACCCCGAAACGTTGGTGGAAGAAGCACTGCCCATCGTCTTTGTTTGCCTCTCTTCGTTTATGTACCCGACTCGAGGACCTTTCTCTAGGAGCTTGATTCCTAGCTCGGCTCCTTGAGCGACTGTGCCGTTCTCGGATTTGTGCGGACAGCATCTCGACTTGCTGCGTTAATGCTTTAATTTGATCCTCTATCGATGGTTGTGTCGCCGTGGCAACAGCCACAGTCATGCGACTGGTCACTTCTGTGATTCTATCGGCTTGTTCCGCGACATCCTCTAACCGATCTTCCGTTCGGGTGGCGAGGATAACTTGCGCCTGTTGCGGTAACCGACCTAACCACAAGGTACGTAGGAGTTGCTCAGGGACGTTATTGTTGGCGAGGGTCTGTAAGTGTCGCAGGAACTGCGAAGGTTTCCTATCACCGAGCTCTTCGTGCTCAAGTAGCTGGCGGATGCGTTGCTCCTGTGTGGCTGTCAACCGCTGGGTTAAAGCTCTTTTAACTGCCTCGTATTTTCCTTGAGCCGGAGGTTGCATTACGATATCTTGGATCTCGCGAGCGTATCTGGTCTCCAAGTGAGCCAGCACGTATGAATATTTAGTCGTATCCTGCGTTATACCTCCTAGGGTTAATTGGCTTTCTAACTGTGCGAACCATAATTCGGGTTTGTCCGGCCAAAACGGAGGGGCTTTGACCGTTAAGCGAGTAACCTGCTCCTGCCCTTCCATGATCACGTCGGGGTCACCACTTTGTACCGTCTACACTTACTTATATTAATGTGATCGCTTGGGAGGTAGGAATCGCTTAGGTTTGGGCCGTAAATGATTAAGGCTTAATAGTAGTAACTCATTATATTTCCTTTACATATTTACATGGTCTAAAATAATTGATAGGGACGTATCGGCGTTGTCCCCCACGCTTTCTCGTTTGCGTGGCCTGGTCGGTTTTGGAGTACGTGTTTCCGCACGTCTGCGATCCTTGCTCACATGTCGACTTCTGTTCCTCCGTCTAAGTCTCCACCGAGCGGTATTTCGGAGGGTCCCAAGCTGGCAGAAACCACGAATCTAATAGGTCTGGTGATGGCTCCCTAAGGCGGGGTGTCCTTGGCCTTCCTTGACCTTCGTCGGAGGATGAGAGTGTGATTGGGGACGTCGGATGAAGTTCCAACGTCGGTCCAATATCGGACACCGGCTCCCGCCTGTGCGGTTCCTGGGTTGGAGGCCCTGCTTCCTTTCCGTCCTTGCTCCGCCGAGGACGCTTGCTGCTAGCACGCTCGGTGCTATAATGGCGCCGTTTCCCCGACAGCCGCGGTAGATGATGGGCCGAGACGATGCTCAGGACGCGAGGTCTCTGACGTGTGGGTGAATGGCCGGAGCTGGGGCGCGTGGCGCCCGGTCGAAGCGATGATTCACCGGAGCTGTGGCGATGTACGCCAGACTGAGGCGAGGATGCGCCGGAGCTGTGGCGAGTAGCGCCAGGCCAAGGCGAGGATTCGCCGGAGCTGTGGCGCCGGGCGCCAGGAGGAGGCGACTTGGCGCCGGAGCTGTGGCGAGTAGCGCCAGGCCGAGGCGAGAATCCGCCGGTGCTGTGGCGAGTAGCGCCGGGCCAAGGCGAGGGTCCGCCGGAACTGTGGCGCAGGGCGCCCGGAGGAGGCGACTTGGCGCCGGAAGGTTGGCGTAGGGCGCCAGGCGAAGGCGAGGATGCGCCGAGCGGTTGGCGCTGAGCGCCGGGCGAAGGCGAGGATGCGCCTCCGGTTTTCTCCGAGTCAAGAGATGTAGAGGCGCTGGCCTTGTGTGCTTTCGCACTCCTATTTCTTTTTCCCGAGGAGAATTCTTCCTTGCGTCCTTCGTGTTGACGGCTTGAGGCTTCTTCGTGGTCTGATCGAGGCGACTAGGCGCCGTGTCGTATCTTGTTGTCGTAGCAAAGATGCGCTAATTACTGAGTGTCTCGACTCCACGGGGAGCCTGCTTATCTTCCCTGTGGGTTGACTTTTGCCCACAGAAAAGCATACCCTGCGTATGACGCCTAGCGGAGGTGCCCGGTAGTAGCTGAACGCGGCGTATATGTAGCCGCTCGAGCGCCTTTTGGCTCACGGGTAAGCTAGCCCGGCGCGCGCCGCGCAGCGGCGGCGCCCGTACTATCGGCGCGGCCGCTTTCTCGCATGTGCAGTTGTGCGAATAAATTTTTATCGCCACACGACAGTAGCATTGAATGACAAGAGCGCACGCCACAATTAACGATATAACGAAAAATGACTCCCCCCTTTTTTTTCGATATGGTTTAGCACCGTGAATCAGCCGCCCGTCTTGGCGGTATGACGCTCGCCTTTTGACAATTTTGTGCTTAAGTCTAATGAATTACAATAAATGAAACGCAACGCAGCGAAGATGCCTAATTGCTCGTCGCCTCACTATTGATAGGTAAAACGCATAATTTTACGATCGGTCTTTTGAATTCCGAGGTGGCCGTCTTGACGGTGACGACCCGTACGAAGCCGTCGGAACCGGGATGACATTGCGTCACTCGGCCCAGTTCCCACTTACAGCCAAATGTATTGCTTTTGTCGCAAGGCAGATAAAGAGCGCGATGTATGCTTTACGCGACGTAATACCTCGTCCAGCGGAGGCACGAATTGCACGGGTCCTGCGTAATCGAGGCCGCAATGCAAAAAACATCGGATTGCCGCTGTCACGCGATGTTCGGGAAGATCTCCCATGATTTGTGTTGGAATCGCCGCGCGTTCGTGAATATACACAACACATTTGTGAATTACAGATTTGACGATATTACGAGCGCAAATTAAATTTCCCGGTCAAGGAACGGTCGAAGAGAGAGAAGTGAGCTTCTCGACGAGAGGCTCTGATTTTTTGACAGCGCGTTTATTTCCGTCGGAAATAAGTCGGCTTGAATTTTCTTAATCCAGAAAGTTCTGGCATTGTTGCAGTCGTATGCAGAAAGCGCAATATTTTGTGATGCCGGATAATGAGACGACAAAAACGAAAACGACAATGAGCTTGTGTCACGACAAGAGCGATTACTACGACAGTTATGTACGAATTTATTGATATACGCGGTGACGCGAATTAACTTTGGCCACGATGAATATTTAGAAGCGAGGTCCCATTTAAAGAGCGATTGAGAGCATTGTAGCGAACTAACCTTTTCTTCGAGAGGCGCTTCCTCAGGAAGACGCTCATTGTTACACGGCCATTTATCGGAATCGAAGAACAGCCATGGAGGTCCCTGCCACCATAGCTCGCGATTGATAATTTCATCGCCAAATATTCCGCGCGAAGCGCAATCTGAGGGGTTGTCCTCTGTTGATACATGCCGCCATTCGACGTTTGGAAGAGGAGTCTGAATGTCATTAACGCGATTGGCTACAAAAGTCTTCCATCGCGAAGGAGGTTGACTTACCCACGCGAGCACGATCGTGGAATCTGTCCAGCAATGGCACGGAATATCCTTGTAACCGTTCGATCCGCGAACGAACTNNNNAGAGATTTTAATGGCGCGACCTTTGATTTACCGACTAGAAAAGTTGTCGTGATTTGATCAGATGACGAAATGATTTTGATATAAACACATGCGGCATATGCATGTGTAGATGATGCGTCCGATCCGTGGATTTCGGCGTGACTTGTATCCTATCCATGACCGATCCAGCGTATTATTCACAAATTATTGAGATGTGAGAGCAGCCAATAGATTTCTCTCCACTTTACGATGTGTAGCTCGGAAATCGCGTCATCCCAACCGCTTTTAAGTCGCCAGAGTTGCTGCATAAATATTTTAGCGGTAATCGTGACTGGAGTGACCCACCCAAGCGGATCGTAAAGTTTTGCGATTGCGGACAAGATCGTACGCTTTGTTTCCGGGGCGTTATCAGCCAGCGACACGCGAAACTCGAAAATATCGTTTGCCGGATTCCACCCGATTCCGAGGATTTTAATTTGTTCATCTTCAGCCAGAGGTTTGTTTGTGGCTAGACCGTAATCTGCGATTTCGATATCCTCGAGAAGAGAGGGCGAGCTGCTCGCCCATTTCCGTAATACGAATCGCCGCGCTTTAACATAGAGTTTAATTGATCGCGCGCTTGCCGAATTTGAATGGTATCGTCAGCTCCGAAAAGTAAGTCGTCGACATAAATATTATAGCTTAGGATAGGAACTGCGAGCTGAAAGTGTTGACCTTCGTCGATGACGAGTTGTTTTAATACCCGAAGGGCTAGAAACGGAGCACACGACATTCCATACGTAACCGTTAGTAATTGATAATCGATGAGCGGCTCCGACAGCGATGACTTCCACAAGATCCGTTGATAATCTATATCACGCGCATCGATGTGAATCTGGCGATACATTTTCGCGATATCGGATGAATAGACGTATTTGTATCTACGCCATTGACCGTAGGATGACCGACATGAGATCGGTTTGTAATTTCGGCCCGGCGTTTAAATGATCATTTAACGATGTGCCGTTAGAAGTAACGCTCGATGCGTTAAAAACAACGCGAAGACGCGTAGTAGAGCTACTTT